GTAACTCACAGTGAACCTACATATGTCAGAGTGAAACTGTGTTCCATAGGGTTTGCAATGGTTTATTTTCTAGAAGCAGATCACCAGCCCTTTCTTCTGAGGCACCCCTGTGTGAACTCAAAACTTTAACAGTTGGTGGTTGCTACTAAGATCCATAAAGAAGGTCCTCTGGTGGCATATTGGTTATATGTTGGGCTGCTAAGTGCAAGGTCAGCAGTTCAAAATCACCAACAGCTTGGTAGGAGAAAGAGGAAGCCTTTTACTCCTGAAAAGTATTACAGTGTTGGAAAACTCAGGAGTAGTTCTACCCTGCCCTATAGGTCACTATGAGTCAGCATCAACGTGACAGCAGTGAGTGTGGTTTTGGGGTTTCAGTAGATCCATGAGGAGCAAGGTGCTTGGCTCATGGTTTCTAACCCATAATGCCAAACTCCAAACCATCTGCCATCAATTTCATTTCTACACCTAGTGGTCCGATAGGCCAGGGTAGAATTGCTTTGTAGGGTTTCTGAGCATGTAAATCTTTCTGGAAGCAGGCAGCTTCCTCTTCCTCCTATGGAGAGGCTCATAGATTGAACCACAGAACTTGCAGTGAGCAGACCAGTGGCTAACCCACTGTGCCGTTAGGGCTCCTTAACGTAACAGATACAGGGAAAATACTTGTTGAAATGAAATAAGAAATGCGCGTGTAAAGGAACTGGTCCAGGCCTTGAAAAACGTTATTTCCATTGAGTCTTTTTATCCCCAACACACACAGACACACGCCCGCCCGCACGCACCTAGATAAAGCAAGAGCACGATTCACTCTTTCCTCTAGGCCGAATGTGCCCAGGGCCTTCCAGGTCATCCAGAACTTGAAGGCATCTGCTCTCCTGCTACATTGGATAGATTTGTCTCCAGTGTCGTAGCTGACATCGTAGAACTTGTCCTGCTGGAAGAGGTAAGAGGCTCTGGCAGAGTAGCACCTCTTAAGAAGATCCTTTTGGGGAAAACAAGAGAAAGAAGGAGATTTCACACAGCTCCCCATTTTCAGAACACATTTGAATTTGAAGGCACGCCCACAAATACAACCCTATGTGATTTTCTACTGCCCGTATCCAAGAACTCAGCATCAGAAGTGAGAGATGCGTATCACGTCAAGGACAGGTATTATTCCTTTTATTTCTGGGAAAAGAGCCCCCAGAGAATCCATCTTCACCGTTTAATGAACAAGTATTGAGGAGCTTCGTGACCCCAGGGCCATCAGCAGCACAACATCAAGATACACCATCAGTGAGAGGCAGCACCTCCAGACCCACAGTTTGCCTGTGACTCACACGAGGCTCCCCCCACAGCGGGTGAGAAAGCATACTGTACAGACTACGTAATGTCAAAGGCAAAAGCTAAGCTTTCAGATTCTCTTCTAAATAGAAAAGGTAAGCAGTAATAGTAACTAAGAGGGTGGGGCGTGGGGGAGGGGGTAAATTCCAAGGAAGAAAGCTATGAAAGAGTTAAACAACAGCTCACATTTTGGGGGAGGGGTACCTCCACAAAAGCAGGAAACATCAGTTACCATCTGAAAGGGTTTCTTGGATGGTCTCTCATTGGCTGTATTTGTAAGTAAATACAATTTGCCTGTAACACATGGTGACTTCTAGTTAGGACAGGAATAATCATTTATCCTGTTCAGCTCTTACCACAGGGCCTTTACTCTGATCCCCAATTGTGAGGGGGTTGACAGTTTAACCTGATGAATAACAGGAAAAAAAAAAAAGGTCCTGACCTGTGCTGTCTTCATAATTGTTGGTATTCAATGTTAGTATCTGCAGAAATCCATCTCTCTCAACCTTTCGGTTACAGCGCCCACATCTCCCTGAACATCTTCATAACCGTCAGACACCTACAGAAT